AAAGGAAATTGAAGATCAAGCTTCAGCCCTTGTTCGTGATGTTATCAGTATATTTTATTTTCGAAGGTTTGCGCAGGAGCCAATAGTAGATTATGCGTGGGTTGAAAATGATGAGCTCATAGATTCACTAACCATGATAGGCACTTGCGCTTGGGACGGAGATGAAATGGATGAGTTGGTGGTACAATTTTGCTCATTTCCACTCTTTGGAATAGAACTAGAGGATCAGGGCAAAAGAAAAATCTATACTCCTGCTCGTGTTATTGCAAAAAAGGGTAATTTATTATCTCCAGACATACTAAGGCAGCGTGCGCATAGATATATGCTGGCGAGAAAATATGAAAAATCTCTTAACAACGTAAATAAATTATTAGATACTGTGCCGAATGACTTGCTCGCGTTAAGACAACGTGGAGAGACTTATTATATGATGAACAAATATAATGAATCACTTAAAGACTTAAATAAAGTATTAAAAAAAGATCCAAATGACGCACACGCATTGTACATTCGTGGAGCAATTTATCACATGAATAAAAATAATAATGATGCACTGAAAGATTTGAACAAATCGATAATGCTTAAACCAGATGCATCTCCGTTAAGACAACGAGGTGAAACTTACTATGCGCTGAAAAAATATAAAGAATCACTTGAAGACTTTATTAAATCATTAGAAATGGATCCAAATAATGCACTTGCGTTAAGATTTTGTGGAGAAATTTATTATGAACATAACAAGTACGATAAAGCTTTTACATATTTAGATAAATCATTAAAAATTGAACCAGACAATGCATCAGCATTGCGTCTGCGTGGAGAGATTTATCGCCGAATGGATCAGTATGATAATGCAATTTCGGATTTAAATAGGTCATTAGCGATTGAACCAGACAATGCATTCACATTGCGTCTGCGTGGAAATATTTATCGCCTAATGGATCAGTATGATAATGCAATTTCGGATCTAAATAAATCGTTAGCGATTGAACCAGATAGCGCATTTGCATTAAACGTTCGAGGAACAGCTTATTATAAGATGGATAAATATGAAGAAGCAATTGCAGATTTCGATCGTTCGTTAAAAATGCAAAGTAATGCACATGCACTTAGATTTCGTGGGAAAACTTATTACATGATGAAAAAGTACGAAGACGCACTTTTTGATTTTACTCAATCATTAAAACTTGAACCCAACAATGCGAATGTATTAAGTGAGCGTGGAGATATTTACCGAATTAAGAAGGATTATAAGAGAGCGCTTAAGGATTTAGATGAATCTTTAAAAATTAACCCAGATCATTTATATTCATTGAAGACTCGAGGAGTAACTTATTTCGAGATGGGTAAATTTGACGTATCACAAATTGATCTGGAAAAAGCAATAATCCTTTGTCCAAATGATACATCCATGTTAGGTTATCTTAATGAGCTGAGAAATAGATAACGTATGTAATTAATTTGAAATTATAGTAAGCAAACTTCATATTCAGATTTTTCATTATAGTTTGTTTTCGAGTTATAAATATGGAATATAAGGTTCAGTGAAAAAACATTGTTTTATGGATCTCTTGCAACAACAGATACGTTTAGTGGAAATAAATTTATATTTAAAAAATTTCTTATAATTTTTAAGTCATGTGGTAAAACTTTCCGAATAAAAAAAAATTACACAATTATCTATATACTTAGTTTGTATCGTGCTAATAAAATAAAAATTTGTTACCGTAAATTCTCGAAATAGCGTGCATGGGCGTTATTTCAAATTTTGGCCAAAATTAAATTTAATTCGGGCCGGAATTCGAAATAACGCCCATACACGCTATTTCGAGAATTTACGGTATTACCTATTCGCTATTGTAACTGTTGTGTTAAAAAGCACTCAATATTAACAGTTACGAATAAGGCTTTATACCACTTTTAACATCAAGAAAATGACGATATTAACAATAATTGAAAGCTTTTACGATCATTAATGGTAGGCGTTAATCTTAGAGAAATATCATTGCGAGTAAGTTTTAACAACCAACAATTATTAACTTCTTGATTTACTAAAATGGATTAATGGCTCACCAAGATTAACTGTCCCAAATATCATTGAAAAAAATCTACCCCAGTATCGCCATCAAAAAGTTACAGTTACATGATATGTGTGCATCGATAAAATTTTTGGATCAACAGGACCCTACTATAAATTCTTGTTATTTAATAGATATCTGTGGATTAGGCGTACCGAATCATTGGGCTGGAGCGGAGTGGAAGACCTTAGAGCTGCCTTAGAGCCATACACTTAGAAATTTTGCCGATATCCGGCTCCCACCCCGTTAATTATGTTAAAATTTAAGCTACCCCTGTAGAACTTTAATCAATAATCGGCTGCATTACCACAAATCACATAACCCTTCGATAATTCGAATCTAACTTGCTCTAATTATAAATTGTGATTTGTTTCGCATTCTTATTGTAATTCATATTTTTATTTTTATTTCTACTATACTTACAACAAATAAAAGGAACAAGTTAAATCTCTTATGTAAAATAAATCGGATAAATAAATATTTATTTTATAGTATGTAAAATTTAAGAACAGTTTTGAAATCAATTTTCTTTTACCAGTGTATAAAATTTATGTGCACAATGTGCTCTGTGCACTTTTTTCAAAAAAATTTCGACAAACTTTTGGGCTGAATAATGCACCAAATTAACGATAAATACAAAATATACACATAAAGCACATAATTTATTGTACATATGTTCAAGTCTATCTTATTTAGTAAATCCTAAAAACAAACGTAAAATAGAACAAGATTAAAAGACAAAAGTATATAGAAGTGCTATCCGTGTAACCGACGGTAACCTACGGGCGGGTAGGGATGGGTAGTTCAAATTGGTTTGGATTGGTTTTATAGTATATGCAGTATCGACGGGTATATTTCTGGTACGTACAGTACATATAAAATTTTACATTCATGTGGGATCTTTGAGGCTATGTTGATTTTATGAATAAAAATTAAATTTGCCAACGCTCTAGTTGCCCAATTCGAATGAGATTTTTTTATTTTGTAGATTTACAAGTTCATTCAAATTGGACAACATAGCCTCGGAAGGATATTTTCTTAGCAAAGATCCCATGTAATTCAGTAATCGATTGATTTATTTCATATGTAACAGATGTACCCAAATAAGATATATATCAATAAGAGGTGTGTAATATGTTGTTTTTTACTTAGCTATGATTTTAGATTTTCAGTATTTCACCAAAAAGAATAATCCCATTAATCCTTCTATCTGTAACGTTATAGATCTGCCTAAGGTTCCGATAGGCTGGTTTAAAAGCTGAAAGTAATAAAAAAAAAATTTGTCCAGGTATGAACGATACTTTATACAGGGTGTGATCTTAACATAAGGTAAAATAATCGGTATTTCTTTGACTATTTAAGATGCATTTAAGAATTGCTTTTTAATTTCATCAAAATCGTTGCAAATGTCAAAATATGGGGGTGGTCAATAAGTAAAATTTTTTAACCCTTTAAATTAAAATATTTTAATAATTATTAAATTGATAAAAAATTTTTTGTTTTAATTCTATATTGTTATAGAATTAAAATAAAAAAAAATTTGATTAGATAGTTGTTGTTGAGACACTTGAATTTAAAATTTAAAGTTACTAAAAATAATTTTCCTGTTTTTTGTTGACCTTCCCCCATGAGTGTCGGCAAAAGAAAATGTACCTATCTAAAAGTAGATTATTATAATGATCTATTTTTAGATAGGTACATTTTCTTTTTCCGACACTCATATATAAAATCTGATCTATAGTGTAAATGGGTACAGAGCGAAATATCAAAAAACTTCCGGCATACAATATTTAAGAATTTTTAATCAATAATATTCAAGAATAACGGCAATACTCAGAATAGGTAAACCATACTTTTTTGAGTGTACCTAGATTATGGTCCGGAAATTAAGTCTTCGATTAGTTGTTTTTCTAACGATAAGACTTTATTTTGCAATAAAATTGCGATCATATAAGCAATTTTTAACGCAATTTACAATGTATATACCATACATAGACATAATCCCAAATCAATTATTATAAACCGCACCTATGGTGGTTTTACACTTATTATATGTTTTTATTATGTTTTTTTTTTAAATTTT